GATCTGGGGTTGCCTTTGATTGTTTTGGAATTTCTTTATGTGGTTTGGGTCATGGCGTTAGATTGCCTTGAACTGCTTTGGACGACTGCAATGGCTTGCTTTGAGTCATTTTATTTTTAATTGATACGGGATTGCACTTTATTATCAAGGTCACAGCAACAGATTGCTGGGAATGTGTTAGAGCGAAATGCTTCTATTTGCTTTAGAACATTGTATCTCTTTGCTTCGAATTGCTTTGGGATTGACTCCAATGCTTTGGATCATTTGTATCCCTTTCCCTTTGAATTGTTTCTGGTGACTTTCGAGTGTTTGGGTCATTGTATCCGATTGCAGTTGTTTGTCTTCGATTGTTAGCGTCAGATTTCCTTTGAACCGTTCAGGGCAACTGCAGCGGATTGCCTGTATTGGCTATGGATTATTGCATATGATTGTAGATGGGTTGGCTATTATTGTTGGAGTACTTTCACCAGCTTGTCATGAAGTGCGTGTGGTTGCAACTGATTGGGCTCATTGCATCAGATTACCTTAACTGCTTTAGGTGACTGTATCGATTTGCCTTGGATTGCCTTGGATCATCTGTGCCTTGAATTGCCTTCTGTTGTCTGAGTGATTCCATCATATGACCATGTATTGATTTTGACTCGCCTTTCATTGTTTGGGCAATTACATCAGATTGCCTTGAATTGCTTTGGGGGCCTTCTATTGTTTGGGAGATTCTATTGCCTGTTGTCTTGAATTAAGTTTGATATTGTTTCATTGTTTAGGTCATCGCATCAGATTCCTTTCAGAAACGCTTCTATTTCTCTGGTTTGCATTCTAGTGTTTGGGTAGTTATATCAGATCGCTTTGAATTGCTTTTTGGATGCATTCCATGGTTTGGATCCTTGCAATGTTTTGGGCTGTATTGGGCTGTATTGTTTGACTGTATTCTAAAACTTCAATACTAATGCAGCCTGGTATACCCTGTTGTCTGTATTAGTACAACCCAAAATTTGGCTGATATTTGGGTTCTTATTTTGTAATTCAACAACGCAGTGTCTGACCGGGAGGTCGCGGATAGAATGGGATGGTTGCATCAGCACGGGTAGTGATCAATATAGCAATAGTAGTAGTTTTATAGTAGAAATTGCATCAACAGTAGCTTTAGTAGTAATTGTAGTAGTAGGTATAGTAGTAGCAATAACAGCAGTAGTAGCAGCAGCAGCAGAGCGATATATATGTTAGGGAGTGTGTGTGTGTGCGAGGGAGGGGGTGTGGCATGTGGTAGGCCTAGGGTGGGGTGGTGGCGGTGTGTCGGTGTTGGGGTACTGATAAGTCTTTCTGACCAGTAGGTAATATCGTTTATACTTCTTGTAATGGAAATTACATAACAGTTTATATAACTGACCTTACACTACACTTCTTATATATGCTATACAAGGAGAAACTGCTAATTACAATAAAACACAGACAGATGTGTTCACACAGACATGAACCGGTAGGTCCCTTTATTTTAGTGCTCACTTGTATGAGTTATCCGACTGATCATAACTGAACAAATTTCCTTATCTATACTTTCATAAAAGATTATTACAATGTATTAATAATTCCCGGTGTAAACTACTGTTGTAAAGGTGTGAACATGCACATACTTGGTATGACCTCTTTTTGATTCGTCATACAGGTATATCCCATACGGGCGTTTTCTCAAATTTCAGTTACCCGACGGAATATACTGAAGACATATTTTGTTTCCATCTCTTGGGTAGACTATAGAAAATTGCAGTGATTGCAATTAGCTCATAATTTTCATAATAGACCTATTTTGTTTCCATCTCTTGGGTAGACTATAGAAAATTGTAGTGATTGCAATTAGCTCATAACTAAGCAGTTTCGAGAATTATTGAAATCTTACAACCTGCCAGCATTTATGTTGGTCATGCGTTTTCTTTTTTGCTTTTGCTTTTTGCTGTCTAATTTGTTATACATTATGTAATTATATTAATAATTTTGGTATCTCAATATCATGGAATATAATGTGTACTTATTATTCTATCAAAGTACCGAAACGTATTATCTGTATGCTTTACTGTTATTGGGTGAAACTGTTAAAAGTACCTTCGTACAGAATTTCCAGGAAATAGAAACTGAAAATTACTAGATAAATGGAAAACTAAATTGGATAAAGATCGCAATCAATCATTATTTATATTCCTCCTTTTTAATTATCAGTGTGCAGATCATGTCACTAACATAAAAACTGAAGGATATATGGTGACAACATTGGGTTCAATTTTGAATGTATAATAAATGTACCAATGTGTATTCTTTAACAGTATCAAGGAATGATGGGGCATGCTCGTGGTTAAAGCGTTCGCCTGTCAGGTCAAAAACCGGTGTTTGATTCCCGACATAGGCACATTAAGACTGAAATTATATTATTTTGATATAAGGCAAAGATCTTAATTTCAATTGAAAAAAAGAGACGAAGTAATTTGGAAGATTCACAGACTAAAAACATCTATATTGGGGCTACAGGTGCAGGAAGCATCTTCAATTATAAAATCACATTCCACAAACATCAGATAAAGGTTTAAATGACAAGCATATCTATTGGTATCTTACCTCAGGTGGCCAAATTCTAGCCATCCCATTAATTTACAGTATTTCCTTACAGACATATATATGGAAAATTAACTTTTAAGGGTATGGAAAGAGTGGGGGGAAACACGTGCAAAGTATTAGTCAGCTGAGATTATCCCTCAAAAACATCATATGTACAACAATCACTTGTGTACATATGTACAACAATCACTATGTGCAACCAAAGCATTGCAAAAAGGCCATATTTTCAGACAGCAAAACATCACCTTTGGCCGGAGTTCCAAATAATTTGACACCGAAAGCATGTCAGTTAACGCAAAGGAAATAACCCTTGTGTTTTAAAATGATGCCTTAATCATAGTCACAATGAAGTGTAGGTTGCCTGCCGATGCGATGCCGTGCAGTTCTGGATGCCAACGGTGGTCACACGAGGTATTGACTTCAGCGCCACCACACGTCTTCGTGTGACACTCAAACTGACTTTCCTCGAGTTGGTACCAAGACGGATAAGTCTGCATTCCCAGTGTGCAAATTAGCTATATTTCATTGACTCATAAAGCCTACAAGATGTTTCAAAATAAACATAAAAATACAGTTGAAATTCCTATATGCGTTTCTTTTTGGGAGAGTATATTTAATTAGAATGACAGTTTAACATTGTAACAGCGCCATCTGGCTGAGATTTGTATTAAACGTTAAACGTCGACTGGCCATAGATTTAGTTAGTTGACTGACCATATCGCGTGAATCCGCCACTATTCCCAAGACAATTCCGGATTCGACGGGGCATCCTCCTAGCGAAGAGTCCAGTGTCATTCCATCCCATTCGTTTTGACAGTACAAGTTGCCCTTGACATTGTTTCCAACGCCGAGTATCCCTTGCCCTACGCAACCAGACTTGTCCATGTCTGAGATTCATAGCAATTCAACGCAGAGGACAATAGGCCCTGGTGATCAAAGCACATAGAATAGAATCCGGATCGGATGATACGTTGTCCACGTGACGTCGCTGCTGCTCACCTCGCCGTCACGAAACTATTGCGGAGGTGGCGGTCTTCATGTTGGGTTGTAACCCTTGGTCTTCTCGTTCTGACACGAGTTCTGTCTGTCAACCGGTAACGTTCAAAAGCCCATACACTGTGCTTCGAGGACAGCCAAAGGTTCTTGCAATATAGGTCTATGACACAACCATATTAATGGCTTTTTCCTCCTCTTCCAACAATAAACGGAGTATCTTTTGTGTGTTTTTTTATATCTGGCATATCAAACGGTTGTCTGGCCCTATTTATGTCAAACGTTTGCACGTGCATATTCTGTGGTTTCCGAAAAACATGTTTTACCATTATTTTTATTTAAATTTAATGGAATTTAAGTCTGTGTTTTTAAGGAATGCATGAACTTGTTGCAGTAATGTTAGGCCCAGACGGTGGTGTTGTGTTTGGGAATAAGAACCATCAGAATTAGCAGCAATTTATTTCATAAAAAGTAGGAAGAATATAATGAAGTGTAGTGAATGTATATTAGTGTAACAGACCATGGATGATAAATGGGCTAACGGGAATCGAACCCAAAACTACCAGTATATTGTGCTGTAACCTTTAACGATAACGATAATACACCCATATGAATCCAAGCATCGCTCAATGAACCAGGTGGGATACCGGGTAAGGCAACAAACTGTCTGAAGGGATACCAATTACATGTTCTCTATCTGGATTTTTAACACCTGAAGTCAATACATATGTCATGGTTGTTATATTTTTGTTTTTACTGAGAGTGGTCCAAGGAAACTGGGGTATTTACCGTACAATGGCTTGCAGAATGGCTGCTTTACGAAACCAACGCCCCAAGAAGACATTAGAATAGCGTCACTAGATGTTTCTGGAAGATCAACAAATCTCAAAAACAATATAATGACGTCAATGAAGGCACATAAAACTCAGTTTGAGATAAAAGATCATTTATTACAGGTTTCAGGTTTTTAATGTCCAGTTCCCCGTCATTATTTTCCTGGTAAACGGGTTAACATGCAAAAAGGTGAGCGAGTGAGGTTTTAGTTTACGCCGCTTTTAAAATATTCCAGCAATATCATGGCGGGGGACACCGAAAATGGGCTTCACACATTCTCCCCATGTGGGAACTCGAACCCGGGTCTTCGACGTTGTGAACAATCGCTTCAACCACAAGGCTACCCCACCGCCCAAAAGGATGTTAGTGCATTAGATTTAATAAGCTATGTGTTACATAATATAACGCAATGGTTGTTTTGTGTATATCTGACAATATCTTTATTAGGATGTCAATAGTGCTTCAAATACGTTGTGGTAGGGCTGTGGTACCGGTAAAATGGTATGTCTCAAATTTGAAATTTGAACTCGCTGACACGATTCGGTGCGTCATACCACGTCCCCTTCCTTCTAATCCAGCACGACCTCACAGACATAGTTGTAGTTGGCATTGCAGAGCTGGTCTTCCCACTGTAACGCCTCCGACAGGGTCTTCCTATGGTAAACGCCACACTCCTGGATATCACTGTCCAGCGAACCAGGATACCAGTTTTCATAGCCAGAGATCTGACTCCCGTCAGCCCACCTGGGAGAGGCCTCGCTTTTATAATCCACCATTCCGAAGAATACAAGCACCATACCGACACCTGAAGAAGAATGGAAATTAATATATTGGCTATTGCGTTGAACTGAAAGACAGTTGGCAGTATTTGGTTATACAGTCTTCATTCACCTTCGCTTGTGCAGACAGTGTGCACCTCCGTCAATACCCATTTATCAGTCTTTAACTTGCAGAATGTATTGACACGTTACAATTTAATTCTTCCTATTTGTCCAGAAACTCTCTTCACTCTGGCCAGTTTCTGACAAAGGATTAGACAATTCGCTTTCAACAATAATTCAAAAACACAAAATGTAACTTCTTCGTCCATGGATGAAAAGACATTTTTGCTCACAACTAATGTTTTAGAAATTGCGAATGTATGAAAATGTGATTACTTGAAGCAAAATGCACAAAAATGCAACTTATTTTAACCAAAATGCTCTTAATTTATAGCGTTATTAAATTATCTTGCCGATAGCCGAAAATAATTATCATGTTAAAAGGGTATCGTCTTCTTTATATTTCAAATAACAATATGATCGTTGCGTTTATCAACTGATTAAAAGTATTTGTTTTACTGTGTGATCCTACATGTTTAAGGAACAATATCCCATGCATATGAAACTGTACGAAGCAAGTATAGCGTTTCGCGTTATCATAACTCCCCTTCTTTCCTAATCACCCGTGAAGGATTTAGTCCCATTTCAGGCAGTCCCATTTCTGGCAGTGAGATTATCACACCTTTTAATTGGTCAAGCGCGTTGTCCCATTTCTGGCAGTGCGATTTCCGTAAGTCCCATTTCTGGCAGTATGCTGTTCACACCGCTTAATTGATAGGTAATAAATTACTAATTGGACTTGAGTAGGCTAATTAAATTGGTTTACTGAATCGGTCAATGATACTTTACCAGGAGAGACACAAGCAAATAAAAGAAACATGGTTGGCAAGTCATAAGATTGTATTATATACAAGAAGGAGGAAGTTCTGATCCGACCGAAGATAGATATAAGTTCAATATTTGGTATTGACTGTTGAGGTTTACTCGGTAAAAGGTGAACCTGGCGAGACAAAAGCGTGACGTCACTGGAGGTTTATAAGTCAGGTAGTAGGCAGAATAACTCCGGGACACTTCCATAACTGGTAGAAGAGTTTGGGACAAATATTAATAGTTTCATCCATAGTCTCTTCAGGTCAGAATGGGTACCAAAAATATGGAGAAAGTCATCACCGTCTTCTGTCATTACCATATTTCTTTCTCTCAATGTACCAAAGAAATGTGATAAACATACAAAAACAAAACATTTCCTGACTCATAGTGTACCAGAGAAATGTGCTTATACTATAAAACAAAGTGTTTTCATAACCATATACACCATATCCGGTCCAAAATTTAAATCAAGTTCCCAAAGACAAACACACTGTGTTCATAATCATTAGAGGAGCAAAGGACTGACCTGCACAAGTAGCAATTGATCAAGTAGGTAGCAATGGATTAATTAAGGATTAATTAACCCAATTTCATTTTCACACAGACCAATTAGTCCTAAGTTTTTCAGCAATATCACGGCGGGGGACACCTTAAATGGGCTTCACACATTGTACCCATGTGGGAATCGAACCCGGGTCTTCGGCGTGAGGAGCTAACGCTTTAACCACTAGGCTACCCCACCGCCCCTGCCAGAGGGCAAGGTTTCCCAAAGACTAATATATAACGCTTAGTCTCTGAATATATATAATTTGATAATAACTGGCGACTTACATAGCACTCTAAGCGCATACAACATGATGAATATTATTACCCCGGATAACCCAAGCTGCCTGTGCGGTGCTGAACGGTTAATAGTCATATGACTTATACCACCGGGTACCCATTTTCTGCGGGGTGAACAGAGGCAAGTTTGCCTAACGTGTGACCACATAGGTGCTTCCTTGTGGGGCAGAACAGAGGTCCTACAAACTCTCAGGTGTCAAACTGCCAAACACAGTCACCCATCCAAGGACTCTCCGTGACCAACGTTGCTTAACTTCACCTGATTTGTGACCTGCGCTCTATGCACAAGACCACCCACCATTTTGATAGAAACAAATCATTCCTTTTAAATTGAAAAGGAGCCCAATTTAGAAGCGAGATCCTGGACCTGACTTGCTTCATAGCATTGCAGAAAGGACTGGGCGGAAGGGAAATTAATGCAGTTCAGAGACTGCGAGACAGGCTAGGCTACCATATATGAAACCTTGAAGAAACAAAAACCTAAATTCAATAAGTTGTCAAAGCACTTACATTCAGTGATCCTGTTCAATTGCCAAGCTGACAAATATTTGACTAGTAATTATTTGTCGTCGATATTTCACTTTACAATTCTCCATCACGTACACGGATGTACTCTGGACAGGGCTGCTGGAAACAGTAAATATAGCAGTAGGTGGTTGCTGGAAACGTCTGACACGAACATATGGACACGTAAGTGGGTCAGCCACGCCCAAAGTGGTGCACTTAATGCAAGAAAACATTTCAAGCAATCTATTGTCACACGAAAACGAGAATCTATGGCCGATATTCGACCCCAAGTTTGCAGCAAATGTCAGTGAACAAATGCGAAATACTATTTCCCAGTTTAAGAGCATATAGTTATAATGGATAGCATCCCCCTGCAGAAATAACTTGCAGCTTATGAAAAAAGCCAATTTTGAACTAAATAATACTGATTCACCCAATTTACCCCGCATTGGTACTTAGTATAAAATCTTAGAATCCCCCTTAGAGACTTAAAATGCGCATAGCGGCCATGAGTTTGACATTTTCTCCCGACTTTTTGACGACACTTGCAATGGGTGTCGTGTGTTACATTGTGCAACCTACAGCCACAAAGGAGTAGGTTGTAATTCATGATATCAAAAACTTGGTGAAAGGCACTTTCTCGATTATATGCAAGTTGCTGCGTCACGTTAAGTCTTAATTTATTCAATGCATCATTGAGATATATTCTCCATATTTTACGATTGCAAATAATAATAAAATTATGATAATTGGCGACTTATATAGCGCTGAACATCAAGAAGCAGGCACATGCTCTAAGCATGATGTACATGATACCCCGATAGCCCATAGTGCCTCTGAGGCGCTAGAAGGTCAATAGCCATATGACTTATACCACCGGGTACCCATTTTCTGCTGGGTGAACAGTGGCAATTTAGAACAAACTCATTTGCCTAATGTGTGACCACATAAGTACCACAATGATATATAAGCACTTAAGACTGGTGATCCATGTCGGTAGGTTGGCTTTATGGGATGATTACAGGGAACAATAGTCTGTTGCAAATGTCATCAGTCGGAGTAGATATTCAACGATTTATTTCAACAACGTCTGTTTTAGTAACTGGCAAAATTAATTATTTAGATTCGATTTAAATACTGTTATTGTCTATCGATACTACAAACGGTATCATATTCACAATGATATTTTAAGGTATTCGGTCTTTGCTATCGGACCTGGAACAAATTGGATATGTCGACAGTTCTATCTCATGTGTTTGATTAGATTACGTATCCTCATCTATTGTTGACTGTGTGGAATAAAACAACATTAAACACAATCACTGTGAAGGAACAATATTCCTCTGCTGTTATTTTGAGGCATTCGAAATACTGTACTTTTCTGTTGGCAACAAATATCCTGTAAAACATTACAAACATTAAAAAAAAGATTTGTCCAAAAATACTATTCCAAAAGGAAACGCATAACCCAGAAATCTTTTGCGAAAATGTTGCATTTTCATGTATAACTCGTCCACAAATAGACTTTAAGAAATGAATTTCTACATTAATTTAGACGAAGGTAATGTTTATACAACCAAGTGGATAGTTTTTGATAACGGAGGCGTTGAGCGCGATGGTGACCACGTAGCATGGTCCCGACGTCGGGTCTCCTGGCTCTCAGTCCAATCTGTCTCAACCTATTCCGTACAGTTTGACCGGATATCCTTTGAAGTCCAGGCACTCTGGCTGCTGTGCTCTCACACGTGGCAGTACGATGACGCAAATGTAGTACCCGGATGTACCGATCTTGGGCTGCAGTGGTGACTCGAGGTCTACCTGTACGGGGACGGTCATTTGTTATACCTGTTTGGTTGTAACGAGCTGTAAGCAGTGATATCGTGACTAACAGACTAACATTCAGACGCCTGGCAACAGAAAATTGGTCATCTCCAGCGTGCATTCTTTCAATGGCGATGTTCCGTGTCGCAGCGTCAAGACTTGGCGTAGTGATTTGACATTGAAACTGCTGCAAATGTATTCTGAATTTTTATAGCCAGACAGTGCATGCTCTTTGCTGCACAATGTCAACTGAAAGGTGATTTCTGTTGCGTTGTGGCGATGCCTTTTTCATTCTTGTAAGAAATCACATCAAAATCAACATTTTCAGGTAAAGTCGACTTTTTTACTTGTGCCACTGTGTAAAATCATGTTATCAACACTTTATTTCATATTTTGACGATTGTTTGAACACAATAGGTAATTAATAGATTTTTAGAAATACAAAACGTCAATGCGTTTCTATTTTGGGATAGTATATATACAAGTAAGATTTTTGTTGAAGGTTCTGTTATTAAAGTAGATATTCCGACATTAGGCCAACATACATCTTCATCAATAAGGTAACTGCTCTCTGTCAACCTGTAATATTTATTCCAACATTTGAATGTCTATATTTATAATGAAAAAAAAATAAACAAGTCAAATTGATTAATGTATTCAACAGAGTATTGATTAATTGTTCACGAGGCAGCTGTTGATTTTTGCAACTTCGTGTCAATGATCGGTGTTTTAAAAAAAAACATCATCATATTGATTTTTAAATGTTCTGCGATAGAAAAATCCATTTTTCTCTAGAGTAATTGTTAGAACTGATGAAGAAAGTGCCTTGGTGAAGAGTTGGTCAACTGTTGAAAGGAAGCGCAAAGGTCCAGGTTAGACTTGGTCTTCAACAACCCATAATTGTCATGCTAACTTATCTGGTGGTCAGGCTCACCGACTTGGT